AGAGTTGTGGGCATGGTAACTGCTGGCTTCCTCTTGTGTATCGCCTTTCTTCTCGTTCGGCAGCTCTCTGTGACGGTCCTCTGCATTTGTGCCCAGACCTCCGTATGACTGTAAAATCTCAGCGCTGTGAGTTAGTTCTGGGGGTCCCCATCTCCCTAGGATGCGACAAAGATGTATGGTGTGCCCTGACTGCTAAAGCTTATGGGGTATCTTTGTTTATTTAATAAAAAGCATGAAGCTTCAGATGTTCCTGCTGGAAGTCTGGGACACTTTGCTGCATACACTGTGACTGCTTCTAGCACTCTGGGCTTCGGGTTTCCTAGTCTCTTCAAGCATTTACCTCGTGCTTCATTCATTGGAGGCACTATATTTTGCATCTTTTTCTGCCCCACCCCTAGGTTTTGAGGAAATTGTTCTGTTGTGGTTGTAACGGCTTGATAAATTAACTGAACGGTGTTCATTCTTGGAATTCTCAAGAGCTTTTTTGATTTAAGATTTAATTTTCAATCACTTTGTATTTTGTGTTTGCATTGGTGTAGCTATGAGTTAAAGCATCTACCCTTAACAACTTAATCAGTTTATTCCTAATAAATCACGTGCTTAGGGATTAGTTTAAAGATAACATTCCTAGCACTTGCCTAACAGTTGCAGTTACAAATAATAACAATAAAATCCAAAGCAATCAGCCCCATCTTTCTTACTGAGAGCTGCTCTTTTTTCTGCTGTCTCCATCTGAGATTGCTGAACTCGTTCAGCGTGGTCCTCCTCTGCCTAACCTTTTGAAATGCAAATAGTGTATTTCTTGAGCTGTCCTATGCTGCATATTTCTCACATATTACGATGTGTTCATCGACTGAACTCTTCATAAATAGTCTAGATCTTCATGAAAGACACTGTGGCCTGCTATACTCTTTCATTTCTCTTCCATTACTGTTCTCCTTCCCTTCTTTTTTACCCAACTTACCAGGCTGGTAAAAGGGCATTATCTGAAATGAGTGCTGTCAAGCCCTGGCTAGCCATGCATTTTTTTGATGGTCTCCTTTGCAGCCCTTTTTCATGGTATTAGGGGGAATTAATCTGTTTTTCTTAAGCTTTACGTTACTGGCAGCTTCCCTTGTTTTACAAGTCAGTTGACCCCTTTTCCCAGGTTCTCAAAATGAAACTAAGAAGGCATTTTCAAAACTTCTGTTACACAGTTAGACACGAGTTATTTTTAAAAAGTTTTGTAAGATCACTTTCTGCCTCCCTTCCTCAGGGATGCTTCCTTTGCTTCCATACCTGCCCCTGGCTCCAGGGGTGTGTCAGGAACAGCCTCTTGCAGGTGGTGTGCCGGTCCCGATGCCTTTTCTTTCCAGCACCTTTGGCTTTAGCCATGCCCTGCCTGGCTCACAGCTCGGTGCTGTTTTTCTGGGTTTATTTCAGATTTGGGTAACTGGCCTCTTTTACAGCCTTATCAGGGCTAGGTTGCTGGGCTTGATTGTCTGAAACCTTCCACGGTCTGTCTCTGTCTAGCCAGTTAAGGGATGTGGAGCTAACAGCTAGTTAAAAAACCTGCTAAGAAAGTTCAGTCACATTCGGTGGAGACCACCCATCTCGTACCCTCAGAGTCGCAAACAGAAAATTACTGTAGATAGCCGATCTTTTTGAAATTCCCTGGCTCCTAAGTTCTGCCTCAGGTGGTTTGCTTTTCTTGTGGTTTAAGTGATCCTTTGATAATCGTAAAATTATTTTTCTTTAATTTGAGGTTATTGTCCAATTTCCTGAACTATAAAACTGGATGGCCTTAAATAGCTCATAGATGAACTGGGTGGATGCATTATAAAACAAAGCAAAACTCTTTTAGCCGCACACATATTTACGTTCCCTCTTTCATTGCACATAGTTGTTTTCAGAGAGCAATTTTCCTTAGGCACAAATGCTAAATGTATGTACATGAGTGTTGTCACAAAATAATTGTTGCCCTTAAGTTGCCTCTTGGAGTGCCTGCACAGGGGTGACATTAATAGTCTTATAATAACTTCTTGGCTTCTCTACCTGGGGGATTAAAAACCCTCTGATGTTGCAAGATGCCTTACGTACCATGGGACTGATAACTTTTGCTAGAGGAGTGTTGAGCTCCATGAGCTTCAAGATACTGAATCCTACCAGCTTTTCTTTGTTGTTTTTGCGTAACATCTCATCTTCAGGTCACATTTCTGAAGAAATTTCAGTTAAGTAAATTGTTTCTCTGCTAAGGATTGATTTTTGCTTCTTATTGTTCCGGGAGATGTGGTCAGTGCTGGTTTTGTCACTTGCCCGCAGCATGACCCAGCGGGGCACGCTCTGCTCCACAGGGGAAACGCAGCCTGCCTCCTCCAAACAGCAGCTTTCCCCTCGCCTCCGAGTCAGGTGCTTTGAAGACAGACGTGTTTTATGGCCTGTTTTAGTCTGCTGCACTCACACCATGCTTTAGTGGACCTTCAGAGTAAGTGTTGTATAACTTGAGCTGAGCTGTGACTCTCTTCATCAAGTTATAAGCATAACAGCATCTATTTAAGGCAGGAAGCTATAGCGTTTGCCCGTACAGAGGTCAGGGTGTAGCTACCTACGTGCTGCCATGCCACAAGAAAAAATTGCTAAATTAAAATTTGATTGTTTCAAGTATTAAATTTTTTTGTTCCATCATAGAAATTTTTCTGAGGGCTTTTTTTTACTTTAAACCAGCCTATTGCTTTTATAGTATATCTGTTTTATAAGGATGGTGACAACTGGGAGATTCCTTTTCCAGCCAAGTGGTGGGCTGGACTGCCAAACCCAGTCTGCTGCTGGTCAGGACAGGTAAGAGGGACGGGTGTTCTGAATAACCAAAACACCTGGATGGTGCAAGAAAATGAGATGCTCAACCTGGACTCAGTGCAAAATGAGGATTGTTAGGAGTTGGGTGATTGTAACCCTGCTGACTCCAGAATAGCTTTTGCAGGGTACGTGGACTAATCCTGCAGTATACTCCCAGCTGCGTGGAATGGAATTCTTCTACCATATAACCATTCCTCAGCCTTCCTGAGCCATTTACCCTGTAAATACAGCCCCTCGTCCCTCTTCCCTGCCAGGGCTTGTTGCACATGTTCCAGACATCCCCTCCCAAACGTAGCCCGAATCCCGCTGGATGCTCTAGTAATTGTGGCGAGGGCTTCGACAGAGCCGGTAAGTTGTGTAACCTCCAACAAGTGGAGATGTGTCCGTCAGTGCTGCCAGGAGGAGATGAATGGCTGCCAGGTTTGATCAGTTGTACGGAGCTCTTCTAAATCTTACAGTGTTTGAGACTTGATCTTGTTTGTCAGACTTGCTTGAAACTGGCCAACGAATGTGGGAGAGATCAGGGAGGCAGATGCATAATGTCAGCTTAAGAAAATGGATTAAAACCATGTAATAAAAAACAATGATAAAGGTTTCTCTTCTAGTTAAGAAGCAAAATTTCTATGTCTTTTTGTCTGTTTTCATTTTAATGGGAAGTGAGCAGTGTCATCATCTTATTTTTGTTTTGCTTATTATTTTTAGAAGGTGTGGGTACACTTTTGAGAAGCTACTGGCAGTAAAGGCGTTTTCAGGGAATCAATCTCATATGTGGAAAAAACCCACCCAAAAAGTGACATCGCATGTAGCTATAAAGGGAAACTGATGTCTCTTATCCCCGAGTTTGCAGGCGAACCTTATAAGCTGTCATTAATTCAGCACCTCTGTTACAGGTGTATGATAATAGTCCACTTTTGCATTATTTTTTGTGTTATGGTAGGCCCTCTTATATTGCAGAGAAAGCAAAAGTTTCGGGCCTGAAGAGCTGGAGAGCTAAATGTCGCGTGGAGGTGGGTTTCCAGGGTACAGAGCAGACGTGTGATCTGTAAAGGAAGGAAGAGATTCTCATTTAAATGAAAATACGATTTTTTTTTGAAGACGATAAGTGTGTTTTTACTAAAAACATTGCTGCTTCAGCTCATTTCACAACCCGTTTGTAATCAGTTGTTCAAACTGATGTTTGTTTTCTTGTATTAGCGTAGAATTACGACACCAGCAGTACTGGTAATGCAAATCAGTGTTTCAGACTTACCGCTGTGCTTGCTCACGGTGAAGTCATGACACAACTCCAGCACTGATCATTCTCTTGCAGATAGCAACATGGATCTCCCTTCCTTTTTCTTTCATATGCAGAATATCCCTGTTTTTCCCTTTTTTTGCTGGATGATTCTCAGTAAATCTTTGCAAGAGCTGGACAATAAGGAAGGCTGCCACCTGAAACGATCACTTCCATTTGCCTTTGAACATTGAAAGCAGTGTTATTCCCTCACTCCTTTCGCAATGACTTTTGCTCAGAGACTAGAACAAGGTGTGGGGCTGAAATACCTGTTCTGCGTGATGATGGCTTGTTTGCAACTCCTCCTGTTTGGCAATGAGATGAGTACTTAAAATGTCTTTCGAAGGATACAGGAGCTGTTGTGGCAACAGTCAGATCCCTTCTATAAAAAGTTCAGCTAAGCACATACAGCATAAACAAACCAGAATGTAACGTAACGGCTGAAAGAGATGTCACGCCTGGCACTAGAGAGCTGTGAGAGCCTCCACGCAGGCATTTTACCTTTTCCCTGGTGACTCTCTTGGTCCTTCTTTTTTTTGGCAGTTTTGCATTTTATTTCTACTGTATTATCCTCTCCTGAGATTGATAGTGTTTTCTACCTCTTCATGCTAAAAAAACCTGCTTGGATGCGGCTCTTAATTCATCATTCTTACACCTCAAAGGATGATAATTTACAAAGGTTGTAAGTAGGATGTAGAAGTTTGGTGTAAATGTCAATTTACCCATTGCCCATCTGCATCGGTAAGTGCGTTTGCCTCTAAGGCAAATAAATTCTTATGACTTTCCTGGAATGCCTCTAAAGTGTCTGTAGTCTAAACTGGAGGGACTGGGTACTGGGACTTTTAATAACTTGTTATTTTATTTTTGTCTTATTTTTATAAATAACTGCCAGGTGTTACAGAAGAGGAGAGGGCTGCAGAGCTGCAGAAAACCAAGGCTATACCGACTGTAAACAGACTGACAGTGGATATTGTGGAACTGGAAGCTCTCAGAAAGTCTGTGGAGGACTTTTTCTGCTTTTGCTATGGTGGGTGTTTTAAAGGCTTCAAAATAGCTGTCCTGGATTTCTAAATTTTTGTTCCGGTTGGGAGGAAAGGTACTGCGTGATCTTAGCCTTCCTTATACTGCTAAGGTGATGAGTTTAACCTTTAGTAGCCGATTCTAAAACATACCCCCATATTGGATACTTTTCTTCTTGATGTGTTTTGTGGGATGTGATTTGAGATTAATGCATGGCACAGCCCATTCAGTTTTCTTTCAAGAAAGCCTCTGTATCTCAGTGGGTTCCGGTGCATGTTAATGTGAGCAGTACTCGGTTTCCCGCATCTGCACCTTGCTTTTGCGTCAGTCCTCTCCAAAGTAAAAAGTTTTACGAGGGACTCATCTTTTTGCTAACTTGAGCGCCCTGGACCTCAAAACATTTTTTTTTTTTTTTTTTTTTTCCCCTAGGTAAAGCTTTAGGAAAGTCAACAGTGGTACCTGTGCCGTACGAGAAGATTCAGAGGGACCAGTCTGCTGTGGTAGTGCAGGGCTTGCCCGAAGGACTCGCGTTTAAACATCCAGCAAATTACGATGTTTCAACCCTGAAATGGATTTTGGAAAACAAGTCAGGGATCTCGTTTATCATCAAAAGGTTATTTGCTCTCTCTTGCGCTGGTCTGTCCGCTTTGGTTTTGTACTTACATTAAGTCAAATTAATTTTTATTTTTAATTAAATACATTGCAGCCTGTTTCTCTTAAACAGGAGTGTTCTCTCTTTAATGTTACACTACCAAGTAAGTAATGATGTCTTTGCTAAAGCTATGGGTTTTTCCTTCCGTATTCCCAAACAGGCCGTTCCTAGAGCCAAAGAAACACCTAGGTAAGTTACTACTTACTCAGACTAAACGGAAACAGATCAGAACTTGTGTTTAGATAGCAATATAGATTAAAGATTTGGTCACGTGGATAAAGTGGCAAACTGTGCAGAAATTCTTAGACCGTGCGTTGCCTTACTTATGGAACTATAACCTTTTCCTTTATGCGTTCTGCCAGGAGCAACTAATTAGAGATAAAATTTGTTCTATTGCATTCTTCGTCCTTTTACTGAATTTAAATTTATTGTGAATTAAATGGTATCCTAGGGAAAGGAGAAGTGAACTGATGGACTGCATTGCATTTTTAGAAGATGCCAAGGCTTTGCAGTGCTCCATGTTCCAATACATAGGTGATTTTGGCATTTATATATAATTTTAAAAATTGATTTAATCTTCTGAAGGTGCTAGGTGTTGTAGTTCCTATGAAAGCCTCTATATATTAAAAAATATGAGCTAGAGTGAGGATTTTTAAACTCCACAAAGATTCACTTCTAGCTTAAAAGAAATCCCTTCTCCTGTCCATGTCATGGGATCATGTTGCTTTACTTGCAAAATTCATATATGTAAGGATTTGTTTATGAAGAGGATGAAATAATTTCTATAGTAATGTAGTAAAAAAAGAAAGGTTTCACTTTCTCAGATGAAACAGCCAGAAGTTGATGCTGGATTAGTAAAATTAGAAATGTGTTGCCTGTGCCCAGTAAGAAGACTAGAGAGTGGGAGATTCTGGTAATAATATATTTCTATTGAAAATGCAAGGCAGGTTTTCAGCGTGGTAAATAACATTCTATAAACATGATCTATTTGTGTCTAACTGTGATTTAGGACTAAGCTGACTCTCTATAAAACTCCCATTTTTTTTTTTAGCAGAGTTTAGGTGAAAGGTTTGTTTACATTTCTTTCCCAAGATTTTTACTTAGCATCATAAAAGAGAGCGGTGAAAAGCATGGTGAAATGCACATTTGAAGTAATTTTATATTGGTGTTGCTTTACTGATTAATAAAGCAGTTTAATGAGATCTTTCCCTCATACCTGTGAATACAGAAGATATGCACATATGCTTGTAAAATGTGAACAGGCTTTTGCTTCATGAAATCAATGTTATATTGTCAATTTGTATTTAAGGTAAATGGAGTGCAGGAAATTCAAAGATTGTCTTTTAACTTTCAGGAGCTCATATGACAGATTCTTCACATTCAATTATACCTCCAAGTGGAAGGTGAATTTAAAATAATGTAGTTTTTTTGTATCGACTATGTATTTTCATATAGTTTATTTTTCTCTTAATGTGCTGCTTCTGTCCAGCTGACCTTTGGATAACTTTTGCTTGCCTGGGATTATAAAAAGCATGAAGCTGAATTTTCTCTTTCTTTTGACCATTATTTCTGGGGAAACTGTTACGAATTAAACAGATGGCAAATTTTCCCCTCTGTTTAATTAGCCCAATGGGTGTTCTGAATTCCCAGTATGTCAGTCAGGGATAAGATTGTTTTATGATATGGCAGTGATGGGGAACAGGCGTAATGTTGCTTCCTTCCCACTCCTCAATGAGAAAACTAAAATAATTTTTTTTGTTAGTAAATGAAGACATTATATCTGGAATAAATCAAAAATTGGTTAATGTGAAAACAGGGATCAGTTTTTTGTGCTTCTGAGTTTGCTTCTCATTGAATGGTAAGCGTGCTTTGAATATTGTATATGTTCCAAAAATGTAGGGATAGGAGATTCCTGGCAATTACCTTGAGATAAATCAGCTAAGCTAAGATGCAGGATTTTTACTTTTGTGTTCCTAGTTGGAAAAAAATACTGGGAGATTGATTTTACTTGACAACCTGTAAAGCTTGAGGAACTTTCCAGAAATGTGGTAGTTGTTTTTTTAATGTCAGCGTGCTTGATTTATTTGTTTTTGTAGTTGTCCTCCAATTCAAGTGAAAATGGAACCAAAGGAGGATTCTGGTATGTTCAAAATTTTGTCCTTATTTGCAAAAAAAAATTGTCAGTTTCTGTTCAAGAAGGTTGAATTTAAGCAAAGGTTGGAAGCCTCAAGAAGAAAGCAGCAAAAAGCCATCCTTTGTGAGAAAGAAAAACTTTTCTTTCCTTAAAAATGACCACTTCTCAGCTGGCGTTTTTATCAAGTATTTAGCCAAATATTTCCATCTCTAGGAAGAGGAGATTTGTAAAATCTTGTGTACTAAAATAATTGATCTTTGTAAATAGCTTAGTTTTAAGTAGAGAAGAGGAAAATCCTTTGGTTTTAATTTTGTTCTAATTCAAGATCTCTTTGTCCCTCATGGAGAGGGAAAAGCTGTGTTCATTTGTTAATATTACTAAAACATTGAAGATGTCCATTTTCTAGCTAAAATGGAAGTAAATAACCAGTAAATAGCAAAATGCGTTATTTATTGTTAAAAAAATGCACAAGCATTCCTAAGTTTCCCTGCAGGTAGGACATGATCCTGCGAGGCGCTGTGATCTGCAGCAGAGCAGTGGTTTGAGATAAAGGCATGAATGGGACATTAAATTAAATTAATTAAATTAAAGCCAATGGGACAACAGATGCGCTTAGAGATAAGCTGGTGACTTCCCCTTTTGTTGGGTTGGGCTACACTGCTCAGCATTTTGTATAAGAATTAAGTTTTTCTCTTTAGTCTAGTTCTTTGTTTGAGTTCTTTGTGCTTCACAACTTTAAATTTGTGGTTTGGGAACCCTTCGTGGTTAACATTTTGCTTAATGTACATGAAGAGTTAACTTGAGCTTTCTCTCAGGTCAGTCCCAGACTCTTTCCAGTGCTGCTTTCTAGGCATTTTAAGTAATTCTCCTTTTGTCGGAATGTTTTGAAAACATTTTAGGGAATGCTGTGAAGGCTTATGGAGGGGATAGTTGACGTGAAGGAAGCCAAGAGCAGTCGGGGACCTTTGGTGCTGCTCCGCCAGCAGCACGGTTTGATGCAGGCTGTATCTGACCTTGGCCGTACAGAGGGGTGAGCCCGAGGAGCTCTAGAAGCACTTTCAGTACAACGGGTGATAATTTTTTGGTTTTTGGTTCTCATAGTAGGCAAAAAGGAAGAAGACCATTCTTTTTAACTCTTCAGATCTGAGCTGTCATTTGCAAAGATGCCTAGTTTGTAGGGAAGCATTTAATGCTGAATCCCTTCTGATGGTGACAAAATTGAAATATAAGAAACCAGCAGGTCACTTTGTTACGGTTGTTTTAGCTCAACAATTGTTTAGTGTCTCAGCACCTGAGAACCTTTTTTTTTTTTCTTTTTTTTTTACTAGAATCTTGGTGGGTGTTTCGTTTGGTTTGTCAAAAGAATCTGGTTATTACTAGTTTCCGTATTTCATTCCTTTGTAGCTTCTACAGGAATTTCTTTGGAAATGGCAACAGTAACAGTGAAGGAGGAATCGGTTGATCCTGACTACTATCAATATAATATTCCAGGTAATGATACTAACTTTCATATGTGTTTGTCTCATGAAAGGGTTGGTTGGTTTAGTGTTGCACTCTCTCTGCCTCTCTTCGTACTTATTCTTGGTCATTAAAACATGCGATTACTTAGCTCTGTTAGGATACAACATTTCCATGCTGGCTATCATTTAAATTATTCTGAAGAATACCAAAAGAGCTGAAATCCAACTTCAGCATACCCATATGTGTGTGTTTGGGCTGAAGCTGAAATTCCAGGAGTCTTTTGAACTGTTTGGGGTTTTTTTTCTGAGTGTCCAGTCTGCAGACTCTAATTCCGGTGACCTCTTTAAACAGGAAATAAACCATAATAACAATAATGTCTAGAGCACTGCTTGGATCTTTTCTTTAAAGTTTCAGTAACTTTTATAGTGTATTAATACTTTTCTTGTATGGAATGACCAATACGTGTCAAAATTGTATTGACAGGTTTATATAGGCAAAGCATAACAACATTTGTGAGGTCCATGACTCAGGCTCCGTGCATGTTTTAAGGGATCTCTCAGTTGCTTTGTCTCACCTCTACGTATCTGGTTAATTCTGCACGTTAACCTCAACTGGGAGTGAAAAAAAGGAATCATTATTTCTGTAGGTTGAAATGAACAGTAGTTAAGAAGTTCAGATTATAAATGGCAATATAAAATAACTAGAACCCTAAATTTATTATTTCAGCCTGTTTGCATTTGCCGTGAGGTTAATTGAGCAATACAAAGGAACACAGACAAGCTGCCACGCATGTCTGAAGGATAGCTGCATGTTCAACAACGAAGTGCAAAACAGCACATCCTTTCGTTTTGTAATAGCATAAATTATTGAGCTAACATTTTTCTGCGTGTTTAGACACAAAGATTCTTGAAGGTTTTTTCTAATGTGCTTTAATAACTAACTACAGGATTGTAGAATGCATATTCTCATACCGGCCGATCTCAAGTAATGTATGAACACGGTTCGGAGAGATCTTAACCGTACGGCAGAGCAAAATGTCACCACTCAAGCTCCGAACTTGAAAGGTGAATTTTCTGGTATTAGGATTATCTTTTCTTCATATTTGTACATTGCCTAGCCTCAGGGGATGGAGGGCTTTACAGGCATGATATAATGTAGTAAAAATAGATACTTTTTTGGAGACAGCATAATCATAGCTCCTTCCAAAGCCAAGTCCTGTCATCTCTTTGCTTTTCAGCCCCTTGTGGCTTTCCATTTCATGCATAAAAACAATGTCAGAGTTTGGCCAGTAGCCGAAAGTGTAATCCAACGCTGTTTGAAAGGAGTTGGTACTGAGATGTCTTCCTTACAAAACAGTAACCCATTGTGCTGCAGCGTGTTCGAGCCCGTCTATTTTTTTTAAATATCCCGTTTCTAAAAATCCCATTAAGCAACGTGGCTTTGGGAGGGGGATTTCTCTCATCTTTACAGAACTCTAAAAGTTTTGATTGGTGAAGAGTAATATGTCTCTTTTTCAGATATAATAGTGCTGAATTAATAACTCCCCCTTTCCCCACTCCCTATGTAGCCCCCCAAACTTGTATTTAAAACAAGGCAAAACTGTATGTGCTGGTAGAAGCGACGGGGTGCTGTGAGCTAAAAGAGATCTTACCGTGTCAAGTCATGCCTCCTTCCCCGGAGTAAAGCAGCTTCCTCTTCGTTTCTTCGAGTTGCTGACGCTCAGATTGAAGCCGAAGGTTGTACAAAGTGCAGAGAGCTATAGATTCAAGAGGCACACACATTCGTGTGTGCATGATGATGCTGTGCAGAGGAGTGACCCTTTGCAAAGTACCGTTATCCTGAGGTGCGTTCCTGAGGGATGACGCAAGTCTGTCCAAGCGTTGCCTTTGTAGAGACGCGCTGCAAAATAAAGAAAATGGCTAGGGCCGTAGTTCTTACTAAAAATACCCTACAGCAAAAGCCGGACTTACCGATTTATGAGAAGAAACAACTTAACTGTTAGAGAGCAGCAATGGGCCCGGGGCTCCGTGGAGAAAATGATTTACGGTGAAATTTCACGGTTATTGTTTTTCTGTGAGTGTTTGCTTCCTCTCATGAATCCCTAATGCTGACCAAAGCGCTGCGTGCCTTGGTGGCACACAAAAGTCTCCCATTAAGCAAATGGGGGGAAAATTATACCTGTAAGTGGTCGTCTTTTTCATCTCTTATTATCTTGTAGTAGGTTGCAGCATTTGGATGTTGCCATAAGTTAATAGTGAATTACTAAATTTGGAAGTATTTTAGCAGTACACAGTAAGACTGGGAAATAGGGACTGTAGCCATCAAAAACTTCATGTGGGTGTTTTGTCAGAGTATTAGGAGCAATTTTCCATTAGTGGGCACTAGCAGTATGGCAGTGGGTGGTTTTTTTCCAGTATCCTGGACAAATGTGAAGTATTAAATGCTTTGAGTGACACCAAAGACAACCTATTCTGGAAGAAAGGTCCAGATTTTGTTGACTAAATGAGCAAGAGGACTGAACATAGATCTGCAGGACTAAATAATGCATAGTGGATCGTTCTAGCTATCACAGTTAACATTCCTGCATATACCTAATCTATAAGTACCGGTTGTTACGGCTCTTAAGAAAAGAAACGTTAGTTAAAATGCAGTTTCTTAGTTTAGTGGTTGAAATGTGGTTTAGTCCTTGAAATGTGGTTTGTACTCTTAGATTAAGCATATTACTATGCTGGGGGAATAGATCTGTTTCTGTGGCTGTTGCAGAGGCACCGGCGGGCATTTCAGCCTGAGCCCCAGACCAGCTGGGTATGTACAAGTCTTGATCCTAAAGCTGAATAGGAGGGCGTGTGTCCTGTACTATATTAATGCAAATACATTTCTGTGCCCATAAATCCTCCTAGCTTCCTTGCAGTCAGAAGACTGTTTAACTGATGTGTAAATGTATTGGACAGTAACAGACACACATCTTGGCTTCCTGCTGGGAAGGCTGTCCACAAGACCAAGGCTATCTTAAAGACTTTTCATGGAAAAAATGAGGTCAAAATACCGTCAGCGCCAGAATAAGAACAAAGCTGAATCAATTAACAGGATAGAATTAAGAGCTATACATACTTGTTTTTTACCAATTTACAAAGAAGCAGGAATATATTAAGAAAATTCCTCAGGGGCATGTACCATCTTCAATCCTCTCCATCAGCACAGAGTAAAACTAGGCTTTTTGGAGACCTCAACCATGCAGAACTGAGTAATTTGCTGAATAAGGACCAAACATTTCCTGAAAGAGGCATATTGTCCCGAGAATTTTGTGGATGCAAGTCTTCAGTTATCACTGACGCCTTGAAGTTAACACAAAGAGTGCTGGAAGCAGAAGGAAAAGGCTGTAAACAATGTGTCCTGTGAATTGGCTGGTTCAGCATATAAACCACTGTCTAATGAACTGACTGGTTTAGCTTAAAAACCACTTAGAGTGAGTAAACAACTGCCTAAAATCTTTTCTCTCTAAAGCATCATGTGGTTGAACAGTGCTATCAGTTTTGGAATTTCTGGAAATGTTAGAGTGAGGCAGTTAAAATATAGCACGTTCATCCAAAACCAAATGAGATTGAAAAGAATCTTCTGCTGGAAAAAAAGCCCAAAATGGGAAAGTAAACCGTGCTTTTATTCTCAATCTGGAATGTTGAAAGTTATGAACATCTTTCAGTGTGTCTCTAACAACAAAATATTTCTCCTTTGGATATCTTCCAGAATACTAGATGTAATGTCCATGGGGCTAAAACTGTAAAGCTAGGCTGGCAGTGCTCTGACCTCCATAATGTAAGGCTCTGTGTGTAGATACTATCTTAAACCAAGAAATTCCAAAGAATATCTCAAGAAAGCAAGAAAGCATGATGTTGTGCTTCCTAAAGGCATTCTGATATTACACCGGTAATTACATATTGTTCACGCTGCTGCCATCCGTGTAGTGAAAAAAGACCCAAAAAATGAGCATTGGTGACGATGCTAATCCATGAGATGATAAACCCGTTCCTTCGGCCAAGTGGCACAGACTTGGCTGCGTAGTGTTAGGACATAATCCATTAGAAACTGAGGCTGAGGGATTTGAACTCAGTGTAAGTAAATAGTTTTACCATGCTTGGTTTTAGCTTTTCTTAGTAATGTGATGTGTACGTATCTGCCTGTAACGTGCATGAATGCAGTAAAGTGGAAATGTATTTTTTTTTTTCAATATCTCCTGGTGGTAGAACTTTCAGAATTCTTTTAAATTTCATTTTCTAGTCTTTACTAAATTAAGCTAGCAGAGTATATTGGTTTATGCTTTTTTATTTCTGAAACAAATCTTTTCATACCGGTTTTTCCTATGTCAAAGCTTCATAATATGAAACAATAAAGCTTCAAGTTTCATAAAGTAATCTGTGTAGGTCACTTAAAAATCTGATGGATTTACTACATGTACTGTAGGTTTTATTGCCATTAAAGATGAGAGGATTGAATTCTCTGTGCTTAATCCCAGGGGCTGTAAACCTAGTAAGTGTATCTCTTTAACTAGAGAAATCTTTCTCTAAGTTCGAACATGTGAAAGACTCCTATTTTTCCTTTTTTATTTGTGTCACAATTGTCATGAAGATCATGCAATCTAGAGACTATAGGTAAAACAATCCTGTCAGGATTTCTGAATTAAGGAATAAACACGAAAATATGTGCTTATAATAGGATATTTGCTTGTAATGGGATGCATGCTTCTGTGTGTCAGCGCATTATGAGTTGTAATCACAGAATCACTAAGGTTGGAAA